ACATAAAAAAAATCATTTATTTTTATACATAAAAAAAAAGTCATTGATTTTTATACATAAAAAAATCATTTATTTTTATACATAAAAAATCATTTACATTTATATATAACATTGTCTGTTCAGAGTGGATATTATTACGTTTACAGCGATTGCACTTTGAAACTGTTGACAAATGATACTGAAGCTATAAAATCATCTACAATTATTTAGATTTGTATGTATGTGTGTGGGAAATTGTCCAATCTCCTAAGAGAGGCTTAATGTGATGAAGTTTATTTGTGCCTGCAAGATCCCAGACTAGAACAAACGGGATTGGGTGGTTCTTTAAAATCAGAACATTACTTCTTATTCAATTGCTTCGATCCCTAAAATATATAAATGTCTGTCGGACATATTTCAAAGAGAAGGGACGGCAGTCGGACAGCACAATCTACCCTGTTTGAGGTAGAAGCCAACAGTGTGACAGCACAATCTACCCTGTTTGAGGTAGACGCCAACAGTGTGACAGCACAATCTACCCTGTTTGAGGTAGACGCCAACAGTGTGACAGCACAATCTACCCTGTTTGAGGTAGAAGCCAACAGTGGGATAACACAATCTACGGTGCCTAATGTAGAAGCCACCAGTATGGAAACACAGACTGCAATGTCTGACGTATCACAAGAATCTACCACTGCGTTTAGTACACCGGAGAATAAAATCAAAGAGGAAGCACGGGTGTCGACAAATCGCACACAAAATATGAATGAAACAAAAATGGCAAACTTATTAAAAGATGGGAATAAATTTGATTCAAAAGACAACCCAGAAAATACTAATGAAACTAATATGGCTAACATATTAAACGATGGGAAACAAGATGGTCGATTGGGTTTTAATGCGATTGCTATGATCGTTGCTGGTACAGTAATGTTGATCGTTGTTGTTGTTTCATCTTATGTTGGTTACAAATGTTATTTTAAAAAGTTAAGCCTACGCAAGGTTAAGCGGATGACACCAAAGAGTAAAATGGATAGTCAAGGGTATTAGGGTTTTCTACGGACACTCTTGGTTGCCACCACTGCTAAGGAACCCCCTGCAAAAGCGAATTGTTGAAATACAATTGATCCACGGCATTACGCTTTCGACTATTTCCACAGAACATACTCGAGAATCCCCCCACCCCACCGGGGTAAAGGTTTCTTTTTACAAAAGTCAAATTCAGGTCACTAAAAATATTTTTAAATGCACTATTAAAATAAATTGTACGAATGTTTAATTCACACCAGAATTGTTTAAATACAATAAATTGTTCCATATATTAGTGCCGAAATAAAGTAGGTTTTGTCAAGTGAGCGTTAATCTGATTCTTTCTTTTTCTTATTGTTCAGTTTCTAGATATATTAACATATAAGCTTCATTGTCCAGTTTCTAGATCGTATTAACATAAGCTTCGTTGATCCACGGCGTTACCCCATACATATGTTTTGTAATAACTACTGGGCCCTTTCTCTGAAATTTAGTGACTATAAATGTTTACACGTAGCGAAGTGATCAAAATTCATCTGCTTCCCACACGCAGAGATGCATTCCAGTTGGGATTTTGCTAATGCGTTTGCTGCTTGATACCATATTGCGTATGCTAGAGTATTCTCTCTATTAGGGGGGTTGGATGGCTGAATGGTTAGCGTGTGCGCGCTGTATCATAAAGTCTGTCATTGAGTCGACTGGCGTGGTTTCGAATCCCCGGTTGTACGTGACAAGGAGTAGGGTCGCCTGTCCTACCTCGTGGGTTTTCTCCGGGTCCTCCGGTTTCCTCCCACTGCTAAAGACCCCTACGCGCAAGCGAATTATTGAAATAAAATAAAACCATATGTTAGTCCCGAAATGACCTAGTTTGTGTCGAGTGGACGTTAAACCCCATTTCTCTCTCTCTCTCTCTCTCTCTCTCTCTCTCTCTTTCTCTCTATTAGCATCTGATCTTTTAGAGGCATTTAGTAACTGGATAGAGCAATACACAAAAACACATACTTATGGAAAAAAAACAGCTACTTATTTATTTGGGCGGCGTTTCGAAGATTATTCTCTCAACGTTATCAAGCTAATACAGTAATGCAAGAATTATGAGATCAATATATACAGAAAACTATAACAAAAATTCATGAAACCATACAGGACAAATACCAAAAATTAAATGATGAATTCCAAAGATTCAATGGTTTTTGTATCAAGCGTAAATTGTCATTTAACCTTTTTATCACATACTACACAAAGTAGCAATTTTGTGACAATTTTCCATAAGTCACTAGGGGATCACGTGGCTAAGTGGGTAAGACGCTAGCTCGCTAGCATGGAGGTCGGGTGTTCGATCCCTGCATTGGCCGAGAAAGTTCATCCAGATTTTCCGGCGTGGTTCCCCCTTGTCAGTGATGCAGGACGGAGGGGCTGACAAGGAAAGCTGTCTAGTCGTTCGGATGGGACGAAAAACCGAGGTCCCGTGTACACATTGGCGTGCACGTAAAAGATCCCTTGGCAGTTGGAATTCGATATCGATATAAGAGTAGGCCGTAGTGCCGCTGTCCGGGCAAAATTTCCCTCATAGCACACTGTATGGCGTATGTCCGTCTTCATTAGCCCAGGTTAGGAGCAGAACAGTAGGACGTTAAACCCCATTTCATTTCATTTCCATAAGTCACTAACATGTTTTTGGATAATAATTTAGTTGTTTTTCAGATGCCAAATATGAATGCAAATAAAAACCAATCCGCTGCCTTTTAATTCAAATATATCTGTACATAAAAACTTTGAATTATTGACCCCATGATACCTGCTATGTGATTCTCACAGCGTGCACCCACAAGGGTTAAACTGCTGTTTTTAATTGTCTTCGAACATTTTTACAGGTTTTGAATTCTTCGTTTACAAAGTTCCTTCCCTATTCCACCTCATGAACTCGCTTCGTAATTCTGTCAACACTTTCCACTATAGTGTTCATGGTGGACTCAAATTTACGAATTTCTCATTGACTTTATGAACCTGTACGGGTAAATCTCTTTGATCGTTGGGATATATTCTATGCGCGGAATAACTTTCGGTCTGAATGTCGGGGGCGGCTTTGGATATATACAGGGAGATTTGGGGTTATTCTTCTGAAAGTTTTTCTTTAAACCTGCAACGGTTTATTCTTCCATGGTAGGTTGTTTTTTTTCCATAAGAAAACATGATATGAGGTTTTTCTTGCGAGAATTCTGGGATATTCTCATCTTGCGTACATGAAAACGTAGACGGGTTATAAGCAAGATAAAGTCCACGACTTCGGTTATGCTGGGGAAGAAAGACATCAGTAAAAAAAACCTCGACAGAAAAACTTCGGCCTATGGCCTCGGTTTTTCTTTTTCTCTGGTTATTTTCTTCAGTCTTTCTTTCCCTAGCATAACCTCAGCCTCGTGCTTTATCCTACACTTATCTATAAGACTATCGAGTTTACCATTTGTACCAAGACCTTGGTTCATGGTAGAGTGCATACTAGGTTGCATTATATTTTTAGGGTGGGGTTGGATGGCCGAATGGTTATCACGTGCGCGCTGTATCATAAGGCCAGTCATTGAGTCAACTGGCGTGGTTTCTAATCCCCGGTTGTACGTGACAAGGAGTAGGGTCGCCTGTCCGGATTCCTCGCCTGTCCGGATTCCTCCCACTGCTAAAGAACCCTACGCGCAAGAGAATTATTGAAATAAAATTAAACCATATGTTAGTCGCGAAATGACCTAGTTTGCGTCGATTGGACGTTAAACCCCATTTATCTCTCTCTCTCTCTCCCTTTCTCTGCATTATATTTGAGAAGGTGCTGTGCATGTGGCCGGATAAAACAATGTTCAGGGGATATCGGAAAGCTTGGAGGAAACTAGTGGATACATGCATATTTGGGGAAGCATAATATATGCTCATCTTATTCATGTTTTGTGTAATAATATATGTAGGTTCAATAACTGGATTGTTCATATCCTTTGATGCGGGTTTGTTTACCGTTGCTGTGCGTGAATGAGTACTGTTCTGTGTTATCTTTAACTTGTTTTTCACTACTGTCAGTTTGACCTTTGATTTCCTCCTTTTCATTCCAGTTTTCAGTCTTTTTCGAATTCATAAGAGGTCATGTTCAGTTAAAGACGAAATTAACCACATTTACAAGTTCAAACCAGTCATTTGGGTCTATAAACGCGCGAATTTGGTCGAATTTATCGCTCTTGAAAAAAATGTGTCCATTTTATCCGCATATGACAGATAGACGGACGATGAACAAAATTTAAAAGTCACCTGCTTTCGCGAAAGGCAGGAGACAACAACAATCAATAAACAGATAAAGCGTCTCACCATTGTTTATTACCATGGTAACGATAGGCGTGCCCAACAGCTCATTTCCACTATTAATTGTGGTTATAAGATTCAAATACTGTATACATTAAAACTGGATGTACACAATGTTTACATGTTATTCAGTGCCCCTTTTCTTTACTACATATTAGGAACTCATTATACTCCAATGAGGCGTAATAATTTCTTTCATCTTTCACTAAATTAATTATCACGGTGTGAGTTTAATTGATAATTATCAAACGAACCGGTTCTTTCACCTGCATATAACTGATCTCAGCGATACCGATAATAACTGTAGCGTGAAAATATGGAATGTCTAATGCCTAGTAACAAAAAAGGAAAATCGGCGAAGCAGGGAGTCTGTAGTTAATTAAGGTATTAAACAAAGAAAACTAAATAAAACATTTATTACGAGAATCGATGTAAATAGCAAGTAAAACAATACATAATAACTGAACCCCAGCAAACGGTATGGCATCTGCACACCTCATTTACTTAAAGACAACGGGGGAGTGAAAGACGCAGAAGTTTTTGGTTACATAATTTCTTTTTCCCAAAGCACAGTGCCGGATGTTAGAACTCTTCGGACACTGTGTTTATACTTGTGCATTGAAATACAAAGAAATCATCAGACTTGGCTGAGCAGGTAGACAATGTTGATCATGAATTCTGTTTAAATAGAACTCTGGAGATATATGAATTTGTACTCGAGATAGGTGAATTAGTACTCGAGATAGGTGAATTAGCGTCAATCGGTAAACTATCGGGTTTATTTTCAGCTAGAACAATTTGAATTACAGCTATGGCTCTTCGTGTTCTAATCCTATTTGTGTCAGCTGTTTGTGCCACAAACAAAATGTGTGCGAAATTGGATACTTTTGGACCTGAAATTTCAAGAAACACCTACCGTCCTGGCGAAGTCATTTCAACAGTTGACAATACCGAATTGGTGACGTGTATGCAAACATGTCTGCAGTTTAACCTGTGTACCTTTATCAATTTCAATACACAGTTGGGGGTGTGTTATTTGATGACACCTAAAGACAATTCGACAACTCTGGGAGGCACCCCGGCTTCTGCAGATTCACGCGATGTCGTTTCCAGCATGGCGAGTTCGTGGTCCAGGGATATAATACATGGTCCGTGTTTGAACCACGACTGTCCGAATAATTCTTACTGTATTGACAAAGATAAAGACACAAGGGAGTGTCAGGTTATTGGTTGTGTGGGTTCATCATTAGTACCATATATTGACAACAGTAGATTTGAGGCAAAGACCATGTGGAAAATAGACGATGCTATCATTTTACCATGTTTATATGACTCTTCAGGGCCAACGTCTTGCACTGCTGACGGCTCTTGGTCAGAATTTGAATGTCACCAAGGTAAGTAAATCCGGGATATTACGAGTTTACTTAGCATTCTCAGACTTAGGTTAAGAATTTACTCAAAATTGTTCGTCTTATATTAACTACAATATAGCCTTTTATAAAACCTTTGTTGTTTTAATGTATCAAATACATCAATAAGAAACTGTGTGCAAAGTTTTGTATTTCTGGGTCAAAGATATTTCCCATAAACGGTGACTGAAAGTGACTTTAACTTAAGTCTGAGAATGCTTAGTGAACTCGGGGCCAGACCATCGGCAATCTTTATAAACTTGTATAGTGCCAAAGGATCAACAGATATTGATAGCTGTTCTAACTTAACTTCTTGTATTTTTAACATTGCAGAAAGAAACATTACAAGCGAATGTCATATGCCCACATTTTTGCACGAAATGGACAGAAATCAAGCGATTTTGCGTAAAATCAGGGTCCATAATCCCGAAATTTAGGGTCCGATACGCGCAAGTATTGAAAGGAGCCCAGACCTGTGGGATATAAACATATTATTTTAAGCTTCATTACAATCATATAAAAAATGTGACCTGTAGAAGGTTCACAACCTTGGTATTACATATTTTTACATGTTAAAACGGCCTTTCTGTCCGATTTTCACGGAATTTGAACTCCACCACCATTACGGTGGACCAGTGATATGAGAGAGCGAAATGGAGTTTAACGTCCACTCGACACAAACTAGATCATTTCGGGACTAACACATGGTTCAATTCGAAAGAGAGAAAGGAGTGGGGTTTAACGTCCACTCGACACAAACTAGGTCATTTCGGGACTAACACATGGTTCAATTTTATTTCAATAATTCGCTTACGCGTAGGGGTCTTTAGCAGTGGGAGGAAACCAGAGGACCCGGAGAAACCCACGAGGTTGGACAGGCGACCCTACTCCTTGTCACGTAAAACCGGGGAATCGAAACCCCGCCAAATGACTCAATGACAAACCGTGTGATACAACGCGCGCTAACCATTCGGCCATCCAACCCCCCGACAAGTGTTATGTATGAACGATTTGTAAAATCGGATAAAAGGAGTGACCTCTAGAGGGTCCACAAACTAAAAAAAAACACGCGATTTTTCGTACAATCTTGGTTCATAATCCATGAAGTTATAGTCTGATATGCAAGAATATCAAAAGGTAACAATATCTTTGGGTTGTAAATATACCTTTTAAGTGTCATCAAAATCGGTTAAAGGGTCTAATATTTGGGACATAGAAATTGACACAAATGGGTCACAACGCATATAATATTGTAATATGAATGTATATAAACTTATTTACATTGGCTCCTGTTGACTTGACTAGTGGAAAATGCCTAGCCTCTTTTTTCGAGTCCCTTATTATAAATGGCGCTGAAACGTATTTTGGTATACCAATTGTGAAATGTTTATTTTGTCTTAAATATTGGATATCAGAAACCCATCTTTTCCCGGTAAGATCCCAATATCAATGTTGATTTAAATTGACAAATAATTCGTGTTGTCAATGTCGAAGATTTTGGATGATATTGAGTTAGAGACTTAGCTACTTTAAGAATTGTGAATTCAGGGGGTCCACAAACTAAAACCGTCATTAGGATGAAACGGGGACATTAAAATGTTTTTTTAAAAACGTGATTTTTCTTACAATCAGGGGGTCATGATCCAGGAAGTTACGGTCCGATATGTGCGAATGTCAACAGGGACCAAGATTTTTGGGATATAAACATATATTTTAAATTTCATCAAACTCGGATAAAAATTGTGAACTCTAGAGGGTTCAAAACCTTGGTATTTAATATTTTTAGACTATTTACGTAAAAGGAGTGGCCATTTTGTCAGGCAGTTTGGGTCCGATTTTAACGAAATTCAATCAACCTCAATGATCATTATGGAATAATGGTGATATATTTGAACGGTTTTGTAAATCGGATAAAAATGGAGACTTCTAGACGGGCCACAAGCTAAAATCCCGAATTTTCAAAAAATCAGGGGCCATAATGCAGGACGTCGTAGTCCGATATGCGCAAATATCGAAAGGAACCGTAATCTTTGGGTTATAATCATACATTTTGGTACAATCAGGGGCCATAATCTATGAAGTTTCGATCCGATACATGCGAATATAGATCTGTTGGAGATAAACCTATATTTCAAGTGTCGTCAGGGTTAGTATTGTGACCTGTAGAGTGTCCACAATAAAATGCCAGCCAGACGTACGGACAGGGGCGACAATATACAGGAACACACCATCTAGATATGAGACCTTAGTCATAATGGCCAACGGTCAAAGTCGCTGACTTATAATGCATGTGTAGTATATTATGATAGACACGCTTGTACGTACTATTAGAGACTTTTGGCAAGTGGAATTTTTTCTACCCGTATCACGTTTCCGTATCGTCACGTGATACGTTGCGGCAATGTAGTTTTAGAGTTTTGGCAGATTTTTGCGCCGCGTATGTATGAGTAGCTGAGCTGAGCTTAGTTCTATTACACAGCATGATGGCAGTTATCTACCAAGATCAACATCAGTACTAGGGAGTAAAGTCGCTCGACAATCGCTGAGCTATTTAAAATTTTAAAAAAATTGTTTCGAATCTTATTAAAATATCTTAGACTTCAACCCGACAGCAACATTTTCGTTTCACCAATGTATCATTTTAGAAAGTATATACGCCTTTTACAGATTTGTAAGGCCCCACCTCGTTAAATTTAGCGCGTAGATCATCCAGTATGCAGACAGACAGGAAAAATATGAAAATGCCGCGAAGTACTCGTCAAAAGTAATGATTAAATCCCAGTCTTTGTCATGGTTAAAATCACATCACATATACACCTTCGTGTTCCAGGATACACACAGATTCATAAAAAACGGCATATTGCAGCGTCTAAAGTAGCAAATAATACAGCAAAAAGACGACGATGTTATACGGGCCTTTTCCGTATGAAAGATGTTCGATACGCGCTGTCGTATCCGTATGCCGTATCACGTATGAGAAATACACACGCATTGATGACATCACACACAAAATCGATACGGATACGCGGTACGGACCAGGAATTTGCGCTTGCCAAATGTCTCTAATGTTATATTTTACACCACGTGTGACTTTAGCTTGTATTCGTAAAACATGTAATAATCCCCTTAATTGTTCTCCGGTAAATTAAATTGAGAGACATTTGATGTGTATGATTTCAGCTCCACCAACAGACTGCTCCGACGCCATTAATAAAAACTACACTGTAGGTGCTGTTCCGATCACTATTGACGTTGATGGTGGAGGTCCATTAGACAAAATAGAAGTTTTGTGTGATGGGATGGTTACAGTTGTTTGTAAGTACATGTATGCTTATTATTGCGTTAACAATAATTAGTAAGTTTACAAAATTAGGAAGTTTATATTAATAAATACGTTTACAATTTTAGTAATTTTACCGATTTCCGTTAGCTGTAATTTGTTAGTAATTATTATGGTTATTATTAAGCGTCCATTTATTAGAAAGTATATGGTTATTAAGCTTCCATTCATTAGAAAGTATATGGTTATTATTAAGCTTCCATTCATTAGAAATTATATGGTTATTAGTTAGCTTTCATTTATTAGAAAATATATGGTTATTAGTAAGCTTCCATGCATTAGAAAGTATATGGTTACTAGTAAGCTTCCATTCATTAGAAAGTATAGGGTTATTAGTTAGCTTTCATTTATTAGAAAATATATGTTTATTAGTTAGCTTCCATTTATTAGAATGGTTATTAGTTAGCTTCCATTTATCAGGAAGTATGTGGTTATTAGTAAGCTTCCATTTATTAGAAAGTATATGGTTATTAGTTAGCTTCCATTCAATAGAAAGTATATGGTTATTAGTAAGCTTCCATTTATTATAAATTATATGGTTATTATTAAGCTTCCATTTATTAGAAAGTATATGGTTATTAGTAAGCTTCCATTTATTAGAATGTATATGGTTATTAGTTAGCTTTCATTCATTAGAAAGTATATCGGGGAATATCGGGATGACCCAAACCGGATAATATGAAAATGCATCGGCTGCTATGACGTCGTGTCATTTGATTTAGCTTTAGCTCATTAATTGTTGGGTGTTTCCGTAATTATTTTTTTAGTTTTTAAATAATTTTGTAATGCGTTACACAGTGAACGTCGTAAATGATAAGATTAAACGTTTACTATGGCATTGACCTTAAAACAATGTCTGATGCCATCAATGACTGATGTTCATGGATATATACGGATTAACTATATGTTTTGTTTCACAAGCTATCATTAATTATTGTATCATGTAATTGCAGATCACAATGCCACAGCGAAAACTTTGGTAGACGGTTTTAATTCGCCGTATTCTTTTAAACTTCATCTTCAATACACAGTCTCATTGGACCACATCAGGGTCATCAAACAAAATTCCAACAACTGTGAGCAGTTTCTTAGGTACGATTGTTTCGGGTCGAGGCTCATTGGTTATGCAGCGTGGAGAACCATTCATCAACAAAGGGCGTACTATTTTGCTGGGAACGGAACTGACAGTGAATCGTGTGCCTGTGGGATTGGGGATTCATGTGATAAAACAGGTGTGAAATGTAATTGTAATATAAACGACAACGTTTGGAGAGATGATTCGGATTTTATTACTAACATCACTGCTTTGCCAATAACTGCTTTTGAAGCTGGCGACACGGGTTAGTATTTTAGTTATCACAAGCTGATTCTTGTCTTGGCGTAAGTCCAGTTTTAACGTCCGCTTCCACTAGGGAGTGCGGGTCTGAGTTTTTTTTTTTATAACCACGTGAATCCACTTAATTACCCCACAATCCGACCGGCTATTACTTATCTGATCGTATACTCACATGCCTCGATCTGACGTGAACATATTTTTATCCTACAAAACAGACCGGTTATTACTTATATCTGATCGTATATCCACATGCTTCGATCTGACGTGAAGCATATTTTCACCCTACAATCTTATTTGTTTACATCTATGTGCTATTCTATTAATTAATATGTGTCATCTATTTATTTTGGGATTTCTGCGGGGGACATCAGCCTCACTGTTGGCTTGTTGATTTTTTTTTATATATTTCAGGGTTCGTGGACTATTATGATGAAAGGGCATTTGTTTCAATTGGACCTCTTCGATGTCAGTGATCAGATTTATGATAAAATAATATACATTTATTTTCGTGGACAAGAAATATTTAAATAATTTTCGGGTTTATACAACATTACAAGAAAGTGAACACTGCCATGTTCATATGACAGTTAAGGACATTTTGATTGAGTGAAAGTATCTCAAGGGTGTTATATCGCCTTTTTACCGTTGCCAGTCACTACATGTATTATTTACACAACCGGTTCTATATTGCAAAATACTAGACTTTTTAAAAAACACAAATTCTTATAATAAATTTTAATTGCTTTTTCATTTTAACTTGCTTTTGTTTTTTTTTCATTTTTACTATTTATATACACAAAATGTCCTACATATATTTTAAAATTATATATATTATCTGTGATACTTGATTTTAATTGATGTATTTAAATACATTAATATGATAATGTTTAATTATCAATTCATCATATATTTATCTCTTATAGACTGCCTCGTTCTGACGCGCCATAAAATCACATTAAATTCATTATGTAACAGAACAAATATATATATCTGCTTTAGGAAGCATATTACCAAATGTGTCAGGATGTTATCAGATATACCAGTACGAAATATTGCCGCGATGGTTAGAGGAATCAAAAGATGCTTGGGAAGCACATTTTCATTTGTGTTGGCAGGTCACGGTGGCTAAGTGGGTAAGACGCTGGCTCGCTAGCCTGGAGGTATCCCCATCTTCATTAGCCCAGTTTGGAGCAAAACAGTAGGACGTTAAACCTCATTCATTTCATTTGTGTAAGGTAATTGGGAACCGCATGTCCAATGACGTCACGGAATGGGATAATTGAAAATCAATATTATGGGAGTGGATGAATTTATGGTATTGATATAATAAATAGGGTCGTGTTCCTTGGATCAGCTTGAGAAGAATCAAGATAGTTCTCGTTTATTACACAAATATAGGGACACATGTATTATAGCAAACCGGTTCCAAAATCGAAAAACTTAACGGAGGCTTATTGACTATAAGGAATGAATGATAAAGGTTTAGATCCTTAGGGAACCTTGCTCACGCTTTCCTTACCTCGCCTCTTGATTACTGTAATAGTCTTTTGCATGATCTCTATCCTAGCTCTCTAACTAAATGTCTCCAAACCTCTGCTACACCATTCATAATACGCACCCTTAAGAATGAGCACGTAACTGCAATTCTTCACGCGATCTCCACTGGTTATAAATTAGCTGTGCACAGGCGCAATGAATTCCTAATTCTCATTAATATATATCTCAATCAGCTAGCACCATTCCATCTTCAATAGAAGGCTTGATCTCGCTTGAACTCCTTACATCTTACCATGGCCTTCGCGTAATACCCCGCTGATTTCGGCATTACAATTTAGATTGGGTACTGACTCAGCTTGAACCTATCCGATTCCTCGCAAATTCTAGCTAAAATGTCTATGTGTGATAATCAGGTTGCAATGCTCAAGGTTGGGTGAAAGTTTTCGTGGAAGTCGCCATGTTTGATTTGAGTGTGTTTGTGTCACAACCTCTGATTGGACGCTATTGGTCACGTGTATACGAAAAAGGGAAATAACGTAGCTTTAAGTTTGGGATTTGCAAAGGAGTGCAGCAACGTCTAGATGTTGTAAAACTCGCGGTCATTGCTTCATAAACATTCACGCACCCTAACCACTCGGCCACACGTCCTATAACACGTATATTGTTCATTATGATATTATATCAGTATGTAGAGATTTAGTTATCCAGTGATTCGGTTTGAAGGTGTTTGTTGAGTGAAATGAAAACTGCGTTTCAAACTCTGTACCCCAATATTTAGGTATAATGTCAGTCCCACACCAAACAATTTCGTTTGTGCGCAGATGTATTTTACAGTGGAAAACACTGGGAAAACCGGATAAACCCCATCAGCTAAAAAAAACCCGAAAAACGTGGCATCGAACTCTTGAGAAAGAAATTTCGTTCTGCACATCACCCACCTTCCCAAACCTTTCTAAAGGGATATTATTTGCTTTATTGATGTAGAAAAGTTAGATGTCACACCCAAATTAATTTCGTTGATGCGCAGCTTTCTTTTACAGTGGGTAGAAACTGTGGAACGAGTATTAACACCACGGTGGTTAAAGAGAGAGATATAGGAATAGTGTTTAACGTCCACTCAACAAAAACAAGGTCATTTCGGGACTAACATGGTTCAATTTTAATTCAATAATTCGCTTGTGCGTAGGCGTCTTTAGCAGTGGGTGAACCCGGAGAAAACCCACGAAGTTGGACAGGCGACCCTACTCCTTGTCATGTACATCCATGGAATCGGAACCACAATGGTTAAACAAACACCCAATACTTTGTTATGTCTAAATGAACACTAGGGACCTTTGGCATCGGTATGTAAGCGTCATCGATTGGTGTGTACTTGTGACGTCAACCCATAGATAAGTATGCGGCTTACAAAGTACGTTACATACGTGGATTCAACCAGATATGCAAACGAAAATGTTTCTTATCTCATATATTGAATTTTCGACAAGTTTTCCAAAATATTGTTGATTGTGTAGAGTACGTAGAAGTAGCTATTATCGTACGTCGGATTGCGAAATTGCGTATTAGAGGACAAGAAAAACGTAAACGAATATATGTTCGACAGGCGACCTATACTTATTGTCACGAACAGCAGGGGAATCGAAACCACGCCAGTTGACTCAATGATAGATCTTATGATGCAACGCGTGTGAGCTAACCATTGGGCCATCCAACCCCAGTCGTACCGATGCGAACGGTCCATACTATTAGCCCGTTTGATGAAGAAACGTATGACGCCATCCCCGAATCATGTCGTTTCTTAATGAACATACAACACAAAAAATAAAGAAATAGAAAATTTTATTGTATCTGCAGTACGTTCTAGCATTCGAAAGTTGAAATATTTACTTGACGTTAGATGGTATGTACACTCAGGAATAAAACATCTCATACAATAATAATTATAGTGCCCGGCTCTTTTAATATCCGTGTGTGATTTAAACATGGCATAAATAACGGTTATAAAGTATAATTAGACAACAGAGAACGGTCAATCAATAAGTGCCTTGTTAACCCTTTAATGCTCGCTGCTTCGTATGTAGCACAAGAACGAAATCCGAACATTAAATTGTTAAACCTTTAATGCTTGCTGTTTCGTATGTAGCACAAGAACGAAATCCGAACATTAAATTGTTAACCCTTTAATGTTCGCGGCTTCGTCTGTAGCACAAGAACGAAATCCGTACATTAAATTGTCAACTACAGTCTTAACGATTGTTAACCCTTTAATGCTCACGGATTCTACAGTAGCACAAGAAGTCCAGACATTAAATTGTTAACTGCAGTCTTATCGATTGTTAACCCTTTAATGCTCATGGGTTCTTCTGTTGCACAAGAACGAAATCCGAACATTAAATTGTCAACTGCAGTCTTATCGATTGTTAACCCGTTAATGTTCGCAGCTTCGCCTGTAGCACAAGAACGAAATCCGAACATTAAATTGTCAACTGCGGTCTCATCTTATACAGGTCACATATCGAATACAATTACTGAGCGACGTTTCGACTAGGCTCCTCTAGTCATTAGCAAGCAGTCTTATCGGTTCTTGGAATTTTTAACAACAGTTTGTTTAGTTTGAATCCAGGCCCTATTTTGTGTTGTGGCCATGATATTACATTTTAAGTGTTAGCTGATGTCGTTGTCTCTATTGATTTTTATCGTTATCCTTTGACGTTGTCGTACCGTTATTTCAAATAATGGTACGGGTGATGTGCCAAGCGTACATTATTTATACTTGTTGAAATATTGTGTCCAGCGTGTAGTATTTCATTGCAAAGCACGTGCGAGTGTCTGTATTTTAAGTTATTTGCGTAATATATCGAAACATCACTCGTGACTAACGTCCCTCGGGTTGTTTCACTATAGTATTTAATACTTAATGTCTCGCTCTCAACCATTAAACCATACATAATGTAGGCCTTAATGCAATAGACTCCTGATTACGGTTAACCAGTCTTTAGACACAATCCCATTTTGATTTTTTGTCTCGGTCATCCACATCTGACTTCTCACGTGGCGTACAGCATCAACAATATAAACGAAACGTAACAGATTTTTAAAATCATATTGGGGCATGTAGACGTCCAAGAATAGAGACGTAAAAATAACAGTCAGAATGGATATAATATCGTTTGGGCGATGAATGTTTTATTTAGATATCCCGTTTATTGGGTATGGTTAATCAATGAAACAAATCAGTTTATTTTGTCTTCGTTGAACTTTATACCCGGATGTTTTACTATTGGATCATAACATATTATTATGCAAGGGCTAAATCTCCCAATTGCACGTCTTTCTTTGGGCCCAAAATGTTATCTACATTATTCCTTAGACATTAATTAACTTATCCAGACTATAATCAACTCTCGATGTCATCGCTAGCCTGCGATATTTACAGCATTAGAATCATATCTGCTGCACAACGCTCATTGATAATTAAATCCAAAATGGATAATCGAGACTTATGTTTTTTATCGTACCGACTTTAGTAATGATGTTCGAGGCTAGTACAAAAATTGGATCGCTAAATTCTCGGTTCAGTGTGTATCAATTTGACTGATATTTTCAGCAAATCAAATGTCCTTGACATTATTTAGATTTTAACTATTATTTTGAGAACTGCCAGCTCTTTATCCAATCTCCCATAATGTATCTTTAAGCTCCGTTGAGATCATATCTCAGAAGGAAACTAATAAAATATACATCATTATAAGAACCGTTTTCTTCATTACAATCAATGGATGTTGTTAACAATTAAAATTATCATGAATAAAAGGCAATGGAGAACAATTTAACGTCATTTCTTGTTGCTGTTTATTTTTATTTAGTTTTAATATCTTATGATGTTTATTTCAATACTTCAAATCGAGACCCACTTATACATGTTCATTTTATAAAGTGGCCGATTCTATTTTTTAAACTACTATTTTGCGTGCGTTTTATTGAATACTCCCCTCCCGGAAATGATATTACTTGTGGCCAGCCACCACTGTCTCCATACAAACGTACAGCAACATTTGTTGGTTACGTGAGCTGGTAGATGAGTATATTCCTCTTTTTTTTCTATAAAAATTGAGCATTGTTAATATTTCATCATTCTGACAATTTGACAATCATATTTGTACATTTCTGTAAACTTTGCATGACTTTATGAAATACATATGCAGTGATGTTAATATGTCAATCATAATATAACTAAAGGAATAAGGAACACGACTTTCATTGATTGCTTCCTGGTTCCCTAAGAATCAGTTAAATGGCGCCATGTTTCGAAAACTTTTTCAGTGAAGTCATATCGAAATATGAAGCGAAATGTCATTTAAATAAACTTTAACGCCATATTTATATGGTGTGATTTTTTTTGGTTACTTATCAAGATTTGCTAATACCATGTATTTTTGTTTTGGAGTAATGCTGAAATTGTCTGTCACATGACAAACAAGAGTTACACCCTTTACATACAATTCCGTGACCATGAAACAGTCTATTATTGATCACAGGAAAATCGACATTATAAGGACATCATGTCTTCGTCGACTTTTAATTGTTTTTTTTAATAAATCGATGAAAGACATGTGCACAGTGTCTGTTATCTGTTCGTTCTCCTCTGTGGTGAATAATTAATTATGCCCATGTGTGAAATATTTCTGATCCAGTTGTAATAATTCTATCTGCTATAGGTTCTACCTGACCTGCTTTAACTATAAGCATATTGCTACATTTCGAATCAGTCCATAACACACTTTATAACCCACTTTAAAGGAGCTAAATCGCTAACATTTGGGACCTAGAAATTGACAAAAGTGGGTCGCAACGCATATAATACTGTAATATGAATGTATATAAACTGATTTACATTCAATGGTTTCCGTTTTTACTCCAATTTCAAAATCAGTTATGTTCGGCGAAATAAGCCAGCAGTCTCAAGCGAGTGCAAATTTCTAGCGTCTGGTTATTTCAGTCTACATACGCCGTTTGATTTGGTGCAATGTGTCTAGCCTCGTCCCTCGAGTCTCTTGATACAACTGAGGCTGAAGCGCATTATGGTACACGATTCGTGTACCAATGGTAAAATGTTTATTTTGTCTTAAATATTGGATATCAAAAGCCCATCCTTTTCCGGTAAGATCACAACATGAATGTTGATTTAATTTGACAAATAAATCGTGTTTTCAATGTTGAAGATTTTGGATGATATTGAGTTAGAGACTTAGCTACTTTAATCAGAGTTGTAATCATACAAGATTTCTAATTAATCTGCAATAACTACGATCGGTCTACCATAAATCTAATCTATCTGTTATCGGGCGATAATATTGGTAACTATAATCAGCCTGAAATAATTCTTATTAATTATAAAATTCCATATTTCTAATTAATCTGCAATAATTACGATCGGTCTACAATAAGTCTAATCTACCTGTAATAATTATAATCGGATTATAAAAATAATTATATGACTGAAATATTTTTCATTACAAACAGTCTGAAATAATTAAAGTCTAACCGTTCATTTCTAATCGCTTCATTAATTACCGTATCGTTATTATAACTAGTGTGTTACATGTATATTTAGCTGTAATACGTAACTAATGAACATGTTTTTCATATAAATTAACACTGGATATCGGCTTGAAATAGTTACTAGTAAGTTGGGTTACGATAGACCTTGTGACAAGGGGCGTAACTCTAACTAATTCGACATAAAATAAAATGCGGCATGACAATATTGTACATTCGTCCATGTACGCTTCCTTTTCTAGCAGCAAAGTACAGTTTATTTTTCATATAACTATATTTTCAAGATAAAATAATTCATGACTGAGGTATGAAAACAAGATCAATATAAATCTTGTTACACGTGTTAAAAGATTCCATAATTTAAAACAATTACATAATATCCTTCAATTCACGAAGGGTATATCGCTCTACAAGATATACAACCCATATTTCACTATAATAAATAACATTTACAAATTACATTAAATTTAAATTATTTTTTTTTATAAATCGAATCCATATACACATATTTACATCTTTTATACACATAATAATATCTAACTAACTACGTCATGTTATCATGACGTCATAATGTTCAATTAAATGTTATTATCTGGCTAAATAGACAAGACGATAGGCTATCAGACGAATGCACAGGTTTTAGCTAAAGTCGTGTACATAATATTAAAAGATATATTTTGGTATCAAGTTTAGGGACTGATTTAAAGACTATTTACTAAAGATAAAACCAATCTGATTAAAATACAGATCTATATTTCGTTTCGGTTTTTTTATATATACTTTCGATGGCCATAGCGATAGGTCACGTCAGGTGTCAAAAGTCCATTTTGACCTTATGACGTCAGACATATGATTAATTAATCAGTATTGATGTTACTAGTGGATTACCAACAGTTCCGTGCAAAACACACCTAAAACTCGCCGTAACAGACCGTTTCATTGGCTTATCCCCGACACCATTCAGAACACGAGTTAAATAACAACTCTTCCAGATCCAAGTGTAGTAAAGACAATTAAAACGAAATTTTGAACTATAAAAAACGAAACGAAATAGGATCTGTGTTTTAATCAGATTGAGATAAAACCTGAATTCTGAATATTATTATTTCGCATTAGTCGCATTTACGACGGTCATGAGAACTTTGATTTAATCAATTTCGACTTTAGCTTATAAGAGCAACTCCTCTTTGATTTAGGCCAAAATGGAGTATTGAATTGACTTGCATTGATGTGTTATTTCTGATGGGGCAACCTCCATTCGATTACATTCGTATGTGCAATGATTAAGTGGGCGTAGGCCTGTGAACATGTCTTTGTTTCAGCTACTGTGTTGGCAGTGGAACGAACACAAGACAGGTTACACTGCCTTTATCTATAGGCGTGAATTTGCCAATGATGACGGATTGTAAACCCACAAAAAAAATAACGAAATAATCACATCTTAAATTAGATTGCTAACATCTAAGAATAATATAATTAGCGATGATTAAAAAAAAATGAAAGCGATTTTTATATACAAGTGTTAAAGATGAAAATGAATCAAAAACGAAACAAACAATTTGTATCACGTCAATTAAATACAAACAAAAACATGAACCTGCATCCATCACGTCGACGTCATCAAAATATGTGTAAAAATGGCGGTGAAGAGTAGAAGAACGAAGGGGTAATTCGTTCCAGTTCCGTTGGATGTAGTGGGACGGGTGGATCGTGGTTTAGCTCCTGTAACAAGACGTAAACAACACATTTATGTTATTCATTTTGTGATAATATATAATATATATCGATGGTGGGGAGTCAAAATATCGTATCTGGCATATTTTGCGAAATTTCACCCTTTTTTCTTCTTCTTATCGTTTCAAAATGTCGCATAGGTGAGGTTACTAAAATATCTACAAGACATCGTTTTCTAGACAACTAGATGAAAAGATGCACAAGAAAATGTTCAATCTGAAGTTTCGGAAAATATGTCACATACGACATTTTGACTCGCCACCGACGATAATAATTAAAGATTAAATATTAAGTAGAAGGGTACTAAAAGAACCGGGAACCGGATATAACGTCATCGTTGCAATCTTGGAATTGTGACGTTAGATCAAAAACCAATGCGCTATATCCAAAGAACATGCATATCGAGTTCATATTGATCCTTTTTAGAAATAATGGAGTCCTTGGCCTCGAGAAGAAGAATTCAAGGAGATTTATCAAGAGTACTGAAAGAATATGACATGAATTACAATGGTTTACAGAGCAAGATAGAGAAATGGGGTTTAACGCCCACTCGACACAAATTAGGTAATTTCGGGACTAACATATGGATCAATTTTGTTTCAATAATTTGCTTGCGCGTAGGCGTCTTTGGCAGTGGGAGGACCCGGAGAAAACCCACGAGGTTGACCTGTCACGTACAACCGGGGAATCGAAACCACGCCAGTTGACTCAATGATAGACCTTATGATACAACACGCACGCGCTAAACATTTGACCCCCCCCCCTCAATGGTTTACGCTAATACATCAATACAATACATGTGTTTCTGGATCAAAGATATTTCTCATAAACAGTGATTGAAAGTTGAGTGGCGGGAGGGGTGGATGGCCGAATGGTTAGCACTCACGCGCTGTATCATACGGTCTGTCATTGAGTCAACTGGCGGGGTTTCGATTGTCCGGTTGTACGTGACAAGGAGTAGGGTCGCCTGTCCAACCTCGTGGGTTTTCTCCGGGTCCTCCGGTTTCCTCCCACTGCTAAAGACCCCTGCGCGCAAGCGAACTCTTGAAATAACAATGAACCGTGTGCTAGTCCCGAAATGACCTAGTTTGTGTCGAGTGGACGTTAAACCCCATTTCTCTCTCTCTCTCTCTGAAAATTGATTAAATTCTTAACTTAAGTCTGAGAATACTTTGTGAACTCGGGGCTAGGGTAATGCAGACGGACATACACCATGCAGTTTGATATTTGAAACATGTCTGTTTCCGTCTACTCGTCATCAAATTCCATTAGCCAAGGGTTCTTTAACGTGCACGCCAACAAGCACACGGTTTGACCTCGGTATATAATACCATCCGACCGACTAGACCCATTCCCTTGTCAGGCCCCCCGTACTGCACACTGACAAGGAGACACCAGCCGGTACTGCATCACTGTCAAGGATACACTGACTGTAGATCTATCCCCTTGTCAGCCCACCCCACCACTGTCAAAGATATACCAGGCTAGAAAAGCTCTATGAAATTGTCGACCCAGAGCTACTAGACCCATTTTCCCTGTCAGGCCACCCGTACTGCATCACTGACAAGGGGTCACTGCCTAGAAAAGCTACAAGACATTTTCGACCAACGTCTGGATCGAACCTTAGTTACTGGACCAGCTCCAATACTCCTTGTGCCAAAGTTTCCCCCTTATCTCAAATCAGTTTCACCCATTAACACAGTAACGGATCGAGCGGCTGGACAACATGACAAAATTCATGCATTTATTTATATTCGTATGCAAATTATTTCAAAAAATAAATAATTATCAGAATTACAAAACGTCATAAAATAATCCATGCACATTAGGGATTATTCAAGCAAGAATTTAATTCATTTGATCACTCGAAAAAATCAAAAGCAGAATATTTGCCGAATTTTTAAAGTGCAAATATGTTGGTCGTCTTAGGAAATAATACGACCGGTAGTTCCTGAAAGCAAAATATCATTTGTTTGTTCTTGTAATCTGTAAGGCAAATAGCTCCCTGGTTATTTTCGTCTGGCTAAATTATATAATAAAACATCATTATAAAGAAATACAATTAATCTGCTCTAGCCCTGTTCAAGTAGGTATTTATTGATGGCTCCTGATTAGAGATATTTCCAGCAGTCCTGGAAAATACACAAGCACCAAGACACAGTTGTTGCTGATCGGGGTTTCAAATTGAGCGACAAAGCACCGGAAGCAGATCAAGGGCAAAGCTATAGGTCTGCTCTAGGTTTCAAAAAGTAAGCTAATGTAGTTACAACAACTTTCCAATGACAGAGCGACATTTATTGAACAGGGCCATTATGATTCGTTGCAGACATGTCGTGATGACGGTACCCCCGAATGACGTCACACGTCATGTTATCTACTTGCAAACTCTGTGTGTTAATATTTTAATGTGAATATTATCAAGCAGACACGACATGTGACGTTATTCGAATTCTATACTCGTATTACCGTCCATACGATTTGTGTCAAACACAACATAGGCAATCAGATTAAAACACAGATCCTATTTCGTTTCGTTTTTCTATAGTTCAAAAATTCGTTTAACTTGTCTTTACTACACTAGGATCAGGAAGAGTTGTTGTATAAACCGCGTTCTAGATGATGTTCAGGATTAGCTAATGAAAGGTTCTGTTACGGTGAGCTTTTAGTGTGAGGTACACAGAATTGTGGGTAACCCACTAGAAACATCAACGCTGATTGGTTAATCAAATTATGACGCCATAGGATCTAAAGCCGCTCGTATGACCTCTGACGCGACCTTCCACTGCAACCGGTCAGATCTTCATGTAGTAGAGTCCATCGAAAGTATAAAAGAAACGAAACGAAATATAGATTTGTATTTTAATCTGATTGGATCATATGAGATCGCAGATGAAAAGTATAAGTAGACTTGGTTCGGATAGTTACTTATATAGCTGCGGCTGCCATACTCTCTCTCTCGCTCTTTATTAAAACAATATCACTGGTTGATCAATTCAATGTACAATTTGTAAAAATGAAAAATAATAATCGAGCAATTTACTAATAATTAAAAAGTTATCTGTCTTTTAAAAAGCATTCAAGAATAGGCTTACTATTTTTGCTAATAAATTAATATCATTTCAAAATCATAGTCAAATTGAAAAGCATCTCATAAAAGTCTAAAGTTTATCAATGATAAGAATGAATATAGGTTCTGATTAGTTGTAAATAAATAAAAACATAAAAAAAAATATTTTGTCATTTTAAAGATAAATAATATCAAGATGCTTATAAAAAAAATTGGTGCTTATTTTTTGTGTTTTAAGGAACTCGTTAAGTTATTAAGTGTCATGCTTGTATCGAAAATCATGCAAACATTCCAGATTATTTTCGTAAACATGCAAACCAATAGAAATTAAAATTGATAAAACAAATAATATATTTAGTGATTTACTAATGGTGCTGTATTAGGTGAAGACATAAATTATGGCTTATGTTTTGTATTAAGTGAAACGAATTAATCCACAAGTTAGAAAATTGTCTTCTGAATAATTTGTTTGTGTTTGTTTTTGTTTTACGCGTGGAATTTGATACCAAAAAAAATTGAAAATGTAAAAAATATTGAGGTTCCACTTTAGCCAAAAGATAGATTTGCCAGTGTTAGAACTGTGTGATTGGCGTGATATATTTTACTATCAGAGTCATGTGGATTGGGACCACTGATTAAACAGAAAGTTTGGTATGGTTTGAGTGACCGGCAGCTGCAGACTGATACAAGTGACTTACCCGAACCTTCGAGTCCATGAATATGTTCATCCGTACCATGCTTTTGATAAAGAGTCTCCTTTTCCTCCGACATACCTCGAAATTTAAAAAAGGCTTGAAAACCCTCGGCATCATAGACGTCATTAGATTTGAATATCACTCGGAAGAAAGGCCCATCAGATTCAATATGGCGTCTTTTTTCTTCTGTTATAACGCCACATAACCGATGCATCTTTCGATCTTCAGTTTCAGCAAAATTTGAAAATGAAACGTAATCGCTTTCTGTGCCCTCTTCACATCTAAAAATAGATAAAATCATAGACTTTTTAAACGAGCCATTCCATTTTTCCCAGAACGCGATGAAATAGCTTATTAAATTATCTGAAAGTTTCAAATATTGAAATGATCTCTAGGTTAGGGTGACGGGTTTATGTAAATTATCTAAGCAATTCCAATCCGACTGTCCCACATGTAGCTAGCTCCATTAAAAAACAAAATGAATGGAAATAAAATTAAATGAAATGAAATGGGGTATAACGTCCTACTAGGCTAATGGAGATGGGCATATGCCATACAGTGTGCTACGGCCTACGCTTACATAAAATTCCAACTGCTAAGGAATCTTTTACGTACACGCCATCGTGTACACGGGGCTTCGCGGGACCTCTGTTTGTCGTCCCATCCAAACGACTATAAATTATCCCTTGCAAGGCCCTCCATCCTGCACCACTTACATTAGGGAAGCACACCGGAAAATCCCGATGGACTTTCTCGGCAAATGCAGGGCTCGAACCCGGAACCTCCAGGTTAACGAGTCGGCGTCTTACCCACGCCGACACCACGACCCCGCTTCCGTTGATACTTCTGGAATAAAATATACTCGGCTAGTCATCAACGTAGCCTTTTATTGTGTACGGCTGATCATCATTTGGGGATTTTTAATCTTGCCAATTATAATAAATAATATCTGTTCAAAAATAGTTCAATTACGTTCTACATTTTCCAATATATAACGATTTAAAAATATTGCAACATTTGCAATCCTCTGCTGACAATGCAAACAAACCAGCGCCAGCTAATATTGTTGGATAAAACATTTTGATGGACTTCCTTTTAATCGGATAAAATCGTTTATAAATCCCCTAACGAGGAAACTAGCGACCTCTTTAAATGGTTTCACTATGACTGTTATATATAATATTAACCTCAAGTTTACTAAATGTGACCCCCCCCCCCACCCATGGCATACTGAGTCGCAGTGAGGAAATTTTAAAAATTGGGTTATTGTTATTTTCACATTCTCCAACTCATTACCTTCAATTTGATGTATAGTTTGTTTGAATCGGACAAAAACTGAATGAGCCTTATCCATTCGAAGCTACACAACTCACAATAGATTTGGTATGTTCCAAAACAAAATCCCATAGCAACAAGGTCATTTATTTGCTGTTTTGTCGTTGAATATATCTTTCCATGGGTTTTCATGGGTGCTGAAGACGAAAATCGTTGACAAATTTGACCCGACGATTTCCGCCATTTATTTGCTATTTTGTCGTTTAATATTGTTTTTATGTAGGATTTCAAGGGTGCTGACGACTAAAACGATACGAGGATACTTATCGTAACGTTGTGCTTTTAGAATAAAACTAGTGATTGTTTCCCATAAAAAAAACTGTGTTAATGTGTCCCCGATCGCTACATGTCACTCAAAGAATAATATGAACTTACTTTGGACTAATGCCATCCACCTGAAATACTGGAAACGTTATATGGACTCTTTCCTTTCCACGTCCATAGAATAGATAATGACATTCAGTATTTCGTGGATATAAGCCCGGATAATTTGGCGAACTGAAAGTGCCCTGTGATTGTTTCGTACTAAAGAAGTTAAACATACACACTGGAAAAACAAAGGAGATAAACATTAAATTATCACACTGTACGCCGTTTCGTAGATAGAAAAATACTACGAGGAGGGTTGGGTGAGATGAAATGAAATGACGTTTAATGTCCCCGTAAAGATAGGTTTATACCATGCAGTGTACTACGAGGGAAGTTTTTTCAGGACAGCGCCGGTGTAGCCTGCTATTCGTCTCAATAAAAGTGCCAAGGGTTCTTTTACGTGCATGTCAACGTGTGCATGGAACCTCGATTCTTCGTCCGATCTGAGCGACCAGATGTCCTTACTTGCTAGGCTCTCTACTAAACATCACAGACAATTGAAAAACTTTTGGTTGTGAGTTACCGAACGTCCCTTTTGGCTCGTGAAATGCCAAATATTACTCTGGTAGTTAGAAATACCCATAGTATATTTGGTCCTTTCCCTAGGAAGAGCGTGTCTAACACCGAATGAGTAACAGAATTAGAATTACCTCCCCTGTTATCTTGTTTTCCTTCATTGATGCCGAAATCTGAAAATATAAAGAGTTAGTAATGGTGAGATCAACCCTGATGCTTAATATGGCGTTAGTTCATTGTATTGTAAATCTATTCGATTGCATATGGCGTTTCATTGTATTGGTGATATATTCGATTGTATATGGCGTTTCATTGTATTGGTGACATATTCGAAAGAGAGAAAGGAGTGGGGTTTAACGTCCACTCGAAACAAACTAGGTCATTTCGGGACTAACACATGGTTCAATTTTATTTCAATAATTTGCTTGCGCGTAGGGGTCTTTAGCAGTGGGAGGAAACCGAAGGACCCGGAGAAAACCCACGAGTTTGTACAGGCGACCTTACTCCTTGTCACGTACAACCAGCGAATCGAAACCACGCGCGATATCAAATTTACAGTGATTGTATAAAGTCCTATAACCGTAACAGAGCCATACAATTACGCTAAAATCTTACTTGTAACAAAACTGTAGTCAGCTTGAAATCCCGTGACATACGTTGAAGACTGAACACTGCGGAACTCGACGATCAACTTCGGTTCATTAGACATCAACATCGGGGGTAATTTTTTACCACAATAAGTTCCGAGATTGGCTGGTTTACCGCTGATGATCACGTGAACTGAGATGGAATCAGTTCCTTCACAACTGAAATCAAAACACAATTAAAAGAATCTGATTCAAACACAGATCATATTTCGTTTCGTTTTTTATAGTACAAAGTTTCGTTTTATTTGTCTTTACTGGAAGAGAGAGAGAGGGATAAATGGGGTTTAACGTCCACTCGACACAAACTAGGTCATTACGGGACTAACACATGGTTCAATTGTATTTCAATAATTCGCTTGCGCGTAGGGGTCTTTAGCAGTGGGAGGAAACCGGAGGACCCGGAGAAAACCCACGAGGTTGGACAGGCGACCCTACTCTTTGTCACGTACAACCGCGGAATCGAAACCCCGCCAGTTGACTCAATGACAGACCGTATGATACAGCGCGCGCGTGCTAACCATTTGGCCATCCACCCCCTTTACTGGAAGAGTTGTTATATAACTAGCGTTCTGGATGATGTGAGGTATTAGCTAATGAAACGGTTTGTTACGACGAGTTTTTGGCGTGAGGTGCACTGAACTGTAGGTAAACCACTAGAAATATCAACGTTGATTGGTTAATCGAATGTCTGACGCCATAGTGTCAAAAGCCTCTCGTATGGCCCCTGACGCGACCTTCCACTACAACTGGTCAGATCATCATGTAGTAGAGACCATCGGAAGTATAAACAACGAAACGAAATATTGATCTGTATTTTAATCAGATTGCAATTCTAAATATCCACGCGTTGGTTTAATCTGAAATGGGGTTTAACGTTTGTACCAACTGGTAAATGTATAAAAACTATCCAAAACAACTAACCCAACTGGTAAATATATAAACACTATTCAAAACAAAGTTATCTAGCTTTTGATTATCATTCTGTACGGCCAGGTTTTCTGGGTTTACGAACTAAAGTCTCCAAAAAAACGGACTTCTGGAAAAGGTCTAATTAGCATAATTTCAAGATGGCCGCCGATTTGAACTTTGAACGTTCTATTGTCCGGGATTTACAAGGGTACCGGTTAGTGTCAGTAAGCACCGATACAGGGACAGTATTTCTATCGGGGTTCGTGAAAGCGTGGTACTTTTCAAATACTGCTTGTTAATTCAATGATTATAAAAACTAAAGTGTACTTACTCGCCCGGGTTAGTTGCATCCCCACCAGGATAGTACAGATCCATGTGTGTAAAACGAATCTGTACTCTCTCTCTACCCACTCCCTGAAATGTATAGCGACATGTGACATCTGAAGGATACGACCGTGGGTAAAACGGACTTGATATGGTTCCATTCTTTCGTTTGGCGCTGTTATAATTTTCGTTACAATGGAATTCTGAAAATAAAAAGATTATAATACGTTAAATATGTTTGAACAATCAAAAGCACCACACCTCCGGAACATATAAATGTATGCGATTGTGATTGGGGAGTCGTTCATGGTTCTAATATGTATACGGTTAATATGGCGTTTAGTTTATGTTGTGTTGATGTATTCGATTGTATATGACGTTTTATTGTATTGCATATGACGTTTTTATTGTATTGTGGATGTATTGGATAACATGTGGCGTTTCATTGTATTGTGGATGTATTGGATTGCATATGGCGTTTTATTGTATTTGACTAATTTCCCGAGATACAACCCCTTGACACTTCACCGACGATATTGCGTTTCATTGTTGTGTTCATGTATTCGATTGCATATGGCGTTCAAGTTTAGTGTTCATGTATTCGATTGTATTTATGGCCATTCATTGTCGTACTGATGTATTCGATTACATATGACATTTCTTTGTATTGTTGATATATTCGACTGCATATGACGTTTCATTTTAATGTATTGTTAAGTATCCGAATGTTTATTACGATTAATGGTTTTGTATGCACAATGTATTCGATTGCGTATAATATGACTCGCGCCTGAAATAGTTTCGATGGATAACTCTCCAGATTCTTTGTGGTTTTTTAATAGATATATTTTGTGCAATATTGGTCGGAAATTTCCATTTCGTGCTATTATTCATTATAGTGTTGATGGCTCTATATTTGTGTGCAGACAAAAATTATCGATAATGTAAAATTGTCTTTTTCTATATGATCAATCCTCTCGAACCCCAGGGTCAAATAGTGGAAGTTTCTAATCTAAGGATTAATGCATTTTCATTTCATAGGTTTATGGAGAGAGAGAGAGAGAGAGAGAGAGAGAGAGAGAGAAATGGGGTTTAACGTCCACTCGACACAAACTAGGTCATTTCGGGACTAACATATGGTTTAATTTTATTTACATAATTCGTTTGCGCGTAGGGGTCTTTAGCAGTGGGAGGAAACCGGAGGACCCGGAGAAAACCAACGAGGTTGGACAGGCAACCCTACTCCTTGCCACGTACAACCGGGGATTCGAAACCACGCCAGTCGACTCAATGACAGACTTTATGGTACAGCGCGCGCACGCTAACCATTCAGCCATCCAACCACCCTTATGGACAGAGGATAGTCGAATAAACTGAATTCATGACGTTAAGATTAATGGTCTTGTCTATTTATTTGCAAGGTCGGTTTGAAAGGAGATATGGGCTATTTGGAGACGTCACATTAATCTATCTGGGTTTGCGATGGGGTGGTTACCTCGTAGCACGAACCACTGTTATGTCTAGCGCACATGTAGGACTTTCCAATCTTACCGACCACCCTGGCCCAGAATAGACAGGTCCAACCAACATGAAAATAGACTGACCCAAAATTGATGAGAGATTAGAATATACAGAAGTCGTCACATGATTGACGTTTTCAGGATGTGTGTTTTGTCTTTCTAAAAACGTTCCTCGAGAACAAGAATAAATCCATCTATCTTCTATACTAATATTTGTGACTGTCGTTTGTCTGTCTGTCTGTTTGTCTGTCTGTTCGGGGTTGGCGGCTACACTAGGTCTGCCCCGAGTCTGAAATTTGGTGTAAGGGGTAGCTCGGACCGGGGAGTAACATAGGCCAGGTGGCGTTAGTCTACCACTTCCGGTTTCGGGGTTATTTTTTTGTCATTCTTGAATAGGATAATAGACCAATCTGTAAATGTATTTACCATTCTATACTCAACATTTCTCGTTATCTTGTTAATTGAAAATATGATCACAAGCCCCAGGACACAGTCATTTATTAGTAAGTCAGTCTAACCTCGTGGGTTTTCCCCGGGTCCTCCGGTTTCCTCCCACTGCTAAAGACCCCTACGCGCAAGCAAATTATGGAAATAAAATTGAACCATATGTTAGTCCCGAAATGACCTAGTTTGTGTCGAGTGGACGTTAAACCCGATTTCTCTCTCGCTCTCTCTAGTAAGTCAGTCTAGGCTTTTAACGTCCTGGGGGATCACGCACGGTGGCTAAGTGGCTAAGACGCTGGCCCGCTAGCCTGGAGGTCGGTTGTTCATCCAGATTTTCCGGCGTGGTTCCCCTTTGTCAGTGATGCAGGATGGAGGCGAAATAGTAAGCTGAATATCACTAAATTCTTGATTACGGAAATTATTGAGGAGGGGCGCATTGACAGAACGTGCGTCCCAGAAATCTGCGCACACATCGATTACAGAGAGAAGTTTAGCGTCCACTCGACACAAAATAGGTCATTTCAGGACTAACACATGGTTCAATTTTATTTCAATAATTCACTTGCGCGTTGGATTCTTTAGCTATGGGATGAAACCGGAAGTTGTACAGGCGACTCTACTCCTTGTCACATACAAACCGGGGAATCGCCAGCTGACTTAATGAAAGACCTTATGATACAGCGCTCACGTGCAAACCATTCGGCCATCCAACCCCCAGAGTTTGAAACGTAAGACGAACTGTGTTTTAATTGGAAAGAAAATTATGTTGGCGTTATCTTCAATTTCTACAAGGAAAGTCTCACAGGCTAAGCTGGTGTGTGTGTGTTATTTCAGCCATTTGAAGGTTTGTTCTGCAGATTTCCTCCGAGAATTCAATTTCCGCGCCACTCAAAGACATCAACGTCCGTCATGTACGGTAGTAAGATTAGAAATTAGTCAAAATGAAACCACAACCCTTCCAGACAACGAATTAATCATCTTCTACAATGGCCCTGGCAATCTAATAAAACCCGAAGCAGATTATGATATATTGATCCTCGGTTCGCACTTGTTGGATATTATTATGTTAGTTATAGATGGTCGTAACATGTAATAGAAATTGATAGGCATCTATAAGATAATTCATAAGGTCCACGGGGGAAGTTAAACACCTCCGCTATTTACATATTTAGAACGCGGTTCTGACCTTATAGGCGTTATTAGTTACAAATTCGCTCGTTTCTCATTTAAAGTCATTTAATACAGTTATTATTTATATTTTATATAATATAATCGCAGGCAATAATAAGCATGGTTATGCCAAACTATCTCTAATTTTCTTGTCTTTGTCTTCTGGAATAAAAAACTATGTGCATTATTATAGCACTCGTATCAAATTATGGCTGGAGATTGATTCTAATTCTTGGCGTTTATAGGACCCATCGTGGCGCAGTGAATACATAGCGCCAGCTACCACTAACCAGCAATCTGTTTCACAGAGGATTACGAAAGTCTTCTAATATCTCTGTAAAAGATGACTACTTTTAACACGTGATATTTCATCACGCGGCGTCAATCATTGACTCAATGGCGCGTGGATTGTTTACATAAGACATTCTAATTCGGGCAGAATGGGGCATTTTACTCATTTTAATACTCATTTGCACTAAATAGGAAATAATTTTTACCTACAAATACGTCAAACGCCTTTATTTATTTTTCTAATACATAAAAAAAAATGTTTTAGGATTTAATTTGTCGGAGGAAAAAAGTTAATATTTCTGGCTTATTAAGTCGCATCGATGTCATCCTTATCAGTGATTGTAGAGGCCTAGCGAATATTCACTTCTGATCAGTGTGACTAACCAGGTGATCCCGAATTCGATCACAGTGTTTTCCAAGAAAGTACGCACGGATATTCCATACAGGTTTCCCCTTTGTCAACAAAAGGTCTGGCAAGTTGGAATTTGACGTAAAGTAAGCGGAAACGCAACTGTCCGTGCCAAACGTGCCTCGTAGCAAAGAGCCCCATTGAACTGGTTGGTGCAGAAAAGTAGCATGTTAAACCCCATTTCATTTTAATAGGTGGCTTTAACACAGGCAATGAGCCACAGGTGGCGAGATTTCGATACCCCACTTGTACGTGACGCTTGAAGGACACCATGCATGGGGACACCATGCGTTCATTTTCTTGGTTGGTGTAGAAAAACAAAAAAATGGAAAGGTTTAGCCAATTTAGTAAAACGTCCACTCGACACAAACTATGTCATTTCGGGACTAACATATGGTTCCGTTTTGTTTTTTCAATTATTCGCTTGCTCCTATCAGTAGGGGGGGGGGGGGGACCACATGACACGGAGAAACTCCACCGGGTTAGATAGGCGGTATTAATCTTAATCAGTTTAATCAGTAGAAAGAACAAAGGGAACACCCGATACCCCTTCTCAATCGTATTGTAAATACACACAGCTAGTACTTCTAGTTCTTTGTAGGTATTAACAATGAACTATCATTATCCTGTTTTGTAGTGTTTTTCGGTGCTACTACCCGTTTTTATTAATAGCCCAGTCGGAGCAGAACAGTAGGGCGTTAAACCCCATTTCAATTCGATGCTACTATTAAACGAACTATGTTACAGGAGCTATGACCGGCACAAATCAATCTAAGAAGTTAGGTTATGTAATCTTCGATCCAGGCTGACTTTATTACAGGATTGATGGCTTTCCTAGTAAACCAAACTAATTCTATTGCAGATTGCTTGAACACGACCTAGAGTAAGTTATGGGATTTCGAGTTTCTAATACATCTCCAGAATGTTTTATCAATTTTTATGAAAAGAAAATCCGGATGAATGTTTTTGTAGCCTGCTTACGGGAAGACAGGAGAAATAGCACATGGTATTCAATAGTAAGTGCAGGTGGGCTGCACCAAACAAAACTTACACAAAAACGAATACACGGACAGGACATCATACTCAGGAAAACACAAACATACAGACAATTCAAAAAAGTGAATGGATCCGGGGGCTAGCCGTAAGCGTCCACTGCGCTGTACAGTCCCGGGAGAAATCAAAATAGTCTAACTAACAGATTTAAACTAGGTCATCCAAGACATAAAAAAGAAAGAAAAAGGAACCAAAAAAACTCAACTTTAATGTATTTGTAGCCTGCTTAAAGGAGAACAGGAGTTATAGCACATGGTATTCAAGATGTCAGAAATCAAAATAGTCTAACAGATTTAAACTAGGTCATCCAAAACAT